GTCTGTATGCACGTACAAATAATTAACTGCACTTGAAGCTTTCATAAAATTAAAAATGAAACACCCAAAACTGTACATGGCATCATCACGAAGACGAACTATATGTTTATATGTGAAATTCCGGAGGGGACGTCGGATGGCGTCACGTGGAGACGTAATGACGTGTGCCATTAATCGAACTATGTACTATAACATGTAAAACGGGAACATGAAAGGAATATTCTAAAAGCAACTCATGTAAACACCTTAATCATAATATTGTCTTATTTAGAATAAGGTAAATAATTAGATTACTGATGTCCATGTAAATGTAGTCAGTGAGACAGGGCTCTTGAGATGTGGTGTTTTCATGTTCAAGTATCATGCAATGACAACAGAGGTAGAATTGATCTGGATCACATGTCGGAAATCTGTGAAAAGTCAATCTTCCCGAATAGGATTGCACATGCAAACATAATCTTTTAAAAATTTGTTCTAGCATCCACGATAAGCACAGGTAAGTACCATTTTGATGAACAATAAAGCACACGATGTGCAGTTTATGAATCACCAAGGACAACGGTTTCACCTAAAAACCTTTACTGTTGTGCTAAAGAGAAAAAAAAGTCACCTAGATTTTGGATGGCCTGAGGGTGAGTAAATGAACAGCAAATTTTTATTTTTGATTGACAGTCCCTTTAAGCTCCAAGTTTAACACTTGCATGTGAAGCTTGTGCCTATAGCTGCATGATATTAACACATGTATACATACATTAGTTTCAGGTGCTGAATGTTCAGATGATCTGGAGAGTTTGAGGATTGTGCTGATCGGGAGGACAGGAAGTGGGAAGAGTGCAACAGGAAACACTATTCTGGGAAGAGATGAGTTTGAGAGTCAAGCAAGCATGGATTCAGTGACGACTGACTGTAAGAAGGGAGTTGGTGAAGTTGATGGTCGATCAGTAGCTGTGGTTGATACTCCAGGACTCTTTGACACGACGACACTCTCAAATGAACAAGCAGTGGAAGAAATAGTGAAATGTGTTTCACTGTCGTCACCTGGACCTCATGTGTTTGTCATTGTGTTGAGTTTGGGAAGATTTACCAAGGAAGAAGCAGACACTGTGGATCTGATAAAGAAGATCTTTGGTCATAAAGCTGCTCAGTTCAGCATCGTTCTGTTCACTAGAGGAGATAATCTCAAGGGTGAATCTATAGAAAAATATGTGGAGAGAGGAAAAAATGCTGAGGTCAAGAAACTGATCAGAGATTGTGGAAACAGATTCCTGGTTTTCAATAACAATGAAAATCAAGACAAAACTCAAGTGATTCAACTGTTAAACATGATAGAAGAGGTGAAGAACACTAATGAGGGTCGATACTTCACTAACAGCATGTTTGAGGAGGCAGAGATGTCCATTAAGAAGAGAATGGAGGAAATAATGAAAGAGAGAGAAAAAGAAATTCAGACTCAGAAGGATGAATTACAAGCCAAATATGACAGAGAAGTGAGAGACATGTTGAAGAGACTTGAGGAAGAGAAACAAAGAGCAGGTGAGGAGAGAATGAAAATGGAGAATCAATTCAGAGAAAATGAGGAAAAACTCAGAAAAGAGTCTGAAGAGAAAGAAAAAATGGAACAAATGAAACAAGAGATCGAAAAACAGAGGCGAACACTAGAGGAAAAACAGCAACAAGCTGAATATCATCAAAAAATAGAAGAAATGAAGAGAGAGATTGAAAATCAGAGATTGCAGTATGAAAAACAGCAGAAAGAAAGAGAAGAACAAGATAGAAAGAGAGAAGAGAAATACAAACAAGATCGAGAAAAGATGAAACATGAACAAGAATGTGTTATGACACAGTTAAAGATGAAAGAAGAAGAAGAAATAAAAAAGAGAGATTTGGAGGAGAAAAGAAGAAATGAACAAGAAGAGAAAGAGAGACAAGAATGGGTGAGAAAAATAAAAGAGGCTGAAATTGACAGAAAAGAGACTCAAGAGGAAATTAAACGACAGCAGAGAGAATGGGAGGATGAAAAGAAACGACAGATAAGAGAACGAGAGGAAGAGGAAAGAAAGAGAAAAGAGAAACATGATGAACAGCTGAGAGAAAAACAAGAAGAACTGGAGAAAATGAGAAAGAGATTTGAAAAAGAGAGAGAAGAAGAACGACAGAAGATAGAAGAGGAGAGACAGAAAGAGAGAAGAGAAAGAGAAGAAAAAGAGAGAGATTATAAAGACAAGAAAACTGAAATGGAAAGACATTATGAGCGGCTGGAGCGAGAGAGAAAAGAGGAGTGGGAGAGAAGAAAACAAGAAGATGATGAGAGACGAGAAGAAGAGAGAAAGAGATGGAAGAAAATGATTGAAGATCTGAAACAAGAGCAACAAGAAGAGATCAAGAGAAGAGAAAGAGAGGAGAAGGACAGAAAAGAAAGAGAAGAGAAAGAGAGAGATGAAATGAAACAGAAACATGAAGAGGAAATAAAAGTCATAAAGAAGAAACTTGAAGATGAAGCCAGAAAACAAGCAGAAGAGTTTAATGATTTCAGAGAGAGAAAAGAGCAGCACATTCAGCAGCTCCAACAGATGCTGGAAGAACGTCAGAAAGAATACGAATTACTGGAAAAACTCTATCAGCACTTCAAAGATGAGAAAAGTGAAGAAGTGACTAATCTGAAAAAACATATTGAAGATTTAAAAAATAAATGGTGTAGACTTATGTGAAACTCTCATATTCATCAGGGAGCCAAATATAATTGACTCTTGTTTTTCCAGGTTTAGTTTTGGTTTTCCACAATTGAACAGATTTTCTTCTGGTGAGATACCATAAGCATAAATGAAATGATAATTTTTTTTTATTTTTTTTTCATTATTATTATTTTCAGAGACAAATTTGGGAAACTGAAAAGCCTGTTTTAAAAAAAAGTCATTCTGTGATGCCTTTTAATTGTGAACTCATATCTACCAAACTGTGCTGCATCTGATGTGTTTTATGTGACTGTCTATACAACTAAAAGGGGATGAAAGTACATTTTTTTTGTTCGAGCATCAGTAACTCAGTGGTTGTTTGTGCTGGATTTCTCAAACAACATACACGGTAGCCACATTTGTCTACTGCAAATAAAACTCAAGTAAGGCTGAAAATTATCAAAGACTTCTGCTTTCCTGTTCCAAACATATCTTGAGTAACAAAAGTCCATTTGGCATTACTGAAGGCACAGAAGTGCTGATTGTGTTCAAGGTCTGTCACACCTTTTGCACAGTGAGTGAAGCTGTAATCTGCTGATTGGTCAGTCTGAATGTCTCCCGGTTGGTTTTTAGTCACATGGTCCAGGAAGGGATAAAAGAAGACTGTAACTGTTGCTCTGTCTCTTTCCTTTGCTGGCACTCTCTTCTTGGGGCTCTGCCCTCTCTCCCTCTCTCAGGTAATATTTGACATACATGCTGGGTACAATTAATTGTTTATGTTTAACCATCCTTCATTTATTTTGTAATCAATTCAAGTGTAACCATAACCAAATACTGTTATTAAACAATTTCATTTATAAACTGTGCTAACTAGTCTTGATTCAACATTAACATTGAAGTACTACCTAGTGCAATACAATATGGTAACACAATAGCAACGCTCTCCCACATATTTAGCTATTCTAACTGTGCTTATTTCCATCGTTGGTGTAAGTGGCAGTGGGTGGTAATAGACAAGAAATATACAGTTTGTGCTTCATTGTGCTGATAACATTTATTTAGTCCTTCGGCAATCCTACAGCCTGAACCACTGTAGGGAAACCACCCTTTCACTCACTTGGCCTGTACTACACAATGACAGATTATGTGAGTTAATGTCAAACACAAAGAGGTCCGTTGTTACAAGCTACCCTAACACAGACTGGGGACAGATGTAACAATGTAACGGTTACAGCCATGGCGGAGCAGGCAGATCAGGGAGCCATGGCGGAGCAGAGACATGGACAGACCACTTGCCTGAGACAGAACAAGTAGAGAGTTATTGAATGGCCTCCTTGGCCGTGGCAGGACAGACTGTGAGTTCATGAACAGCCTCTGTGGCCGTGACAGGGCAGACAGTGAGTTCGTGAACGGCCTCCGTGGCCGTAACAGGACAGGCAATGAATTCATGGACGGCCTTCTTAGTCGTGACAGGGCAGACGCGGAGCAGAGACATGGACAGACCACTTGCCTGAGACAGAACAAGTAGAGAGTTATTGAATGGCCTCCTTGGCCGTGGCAGGACAGACTGTGAGTTCATGAACAGCCTCTGTGGCCGTGACAGGGCAGACAATGAGTTCGTGAACGGCCTCCGTGGCCGTGACAGGGCAGTCTGTGAGTTCATGAACGGCCTCCGTGGCCATGACAAGACAGTCTGAGTTCGTGAACGGCCTCCGTGACCGTAACAGGGCAGTCTGTGAGGTCATGAACAGCCTCCGTGGCCGTGATAAGACAGTCTGTGAGTTCTGCAGGAGAGGCCTCAGGAGCAGACTCGTGGACAGAAGAGGCCTCAGGAGCGCAGTGTGCAGCCCACACGCTCAAAATGGCGACCGCCATTACAGGAAGGGCAGCAGAGTGTGGCAGGACCTCTAAGATGGTTGGGCTTGAGAGCTCTGACGTCAACGAGATGCCTGCAGCTCTTACCGACATCAGTGGTAAGTCCATCACGCTAGCCATCAGTCTTTTCACAGACTCTGGCTTGGCAGACATGAAGTGAACAGGTTCTGACTTGGTAGATATGACTTATATATTAAAATACATTTTGACTTAACTGGCATGATGTGAGCAGGTCCTGGAGTTACACGACGAAGACTATGGGAACATGATGGCTACTTATAGCCACATGAAAACATGAACAAGAAACACAACCCAAAACACCACATTACAAACAATGAGAGGCAATTTGCTGAAATGAGATCTACAAGAATAAGAACAGTTTTGAATAAATTGAACCATTAACCTGCCAAAAAAAAAAAAAAAGTATTATTTTTTGGACCAAAAAAACAAAACAAACTAACGTTAAACTCTTTTCTGAGTTTTTCCTCTTTCTCTCTGAATTGATTCTGCATCTTCATTTTCTCCTCATCAGCTCTTTGTTTTTCTTCCTCAAGTCTCTTCATCAGGTTTTTAATGTTCATCTCATATTTGGCTTGTAACTCTTCTCTCTGAGCCTGACATGAACTCTGTTTAAAATCCGAGAACATCCTGATGGTGTTTGCTTTCTGTTTTTGCACTCTGCAGTTGCAAATATAACAAAAGGGTCAGGAGAAATTTATCAGAGTAAAAGTATCATTTTTTTTTCTTTAGCATGTAGTAAAGTAAAATTAGAAGTCTGAAAAATATTTATGCTTGAGTAAAGTAGCAACATCCAAAAATGGTACTTAAATGTAAAAAAGTATTTGTACTTAGATACTAAACATCACTGCAAATATCGTTGCTCAGATGAAATGTCAACATTAATTAGCGCACAATATTTCTAAATATGCTGAAGAGAGTTTTTCACCATCTGTGGTCAAGAGGAACATTAAAGGTTGGGGGGTTTACCCTACTGTATATACAGTATTGTGACTTCACTTTCGGTCACTACTTGTTTGGGTGTGTGTGTTGCATCTGTGTGTTCTCTGCAGGTGTCCGGCTGATTGCTGCTCGATTGGGTACAATGATTCTTTTTCTATAAAACATCTCTTTTCTCTTGGTGGAGGTCTCTGCTCTTGGTTGGATCCAGTGTCAGCTCTCCAGTCTTCGTGCCCTGGCTTCCTGGATCGAGACGGGTTTAATAATGGTTCATTTTAGGCTTGATGGTTAAATAAAGTTTAAATGTTTTTTCAACGCAAATGCACACATCTCCTTATTTGTAGTGACCCTCCGGGGTCGCAACAAGTGGGGGCTCATCCTAAACTTATAGTTTTGATTTGGCGTTTTGGTTTTGTTTAAAGACAACTTTGGTGATTAGTTAATATTTTGTGTTGTTTTTGGATTTGTAGTAATTAGGATTTATTTTGCAGAGGGATTTTCAATATTTCGAATTTGTTAGTGTCTTTGTAATATTTAGTCCTGGTAACAGGATTGGGAAGTTTCTTTTGTTAAAATTTGTAGAAGAAGCGAGTGCATTTTGTTGTTGAATAGTGTCCAATCATTGGAAAGCCCTGGGATTAGTTTCACTGGTAGGATTAAGCGGCATGTGCTTTTGGGGTATGTCCGTTTTTTTTTTGTTTGTTATTTTTGAGCAGATCGGTGGTTGGAACTGAGTCTCGGGAGCACGCCGAGGTTTGAGGGAATCGCCAATTTAATTGGTTGTTCTTCTCCGCTTATGGTATTAGGTGCATAAATACCCACCACTGCAGTATGCTTGAAGTTTAGGGTCTGCTTAGTTAGGTTTATGTATAGGTAGGCTGTGAAAGTTAATCGTCAGGGCATTTTATTTTTTTTCTCTATTTTGACAGCTTTGAAGGTAAGGATTTAATTTTAAAGAGTTTTGTATAGAATCATTGATTGAGATTGTTGATTGGAGTGTGTATAATTACTGAATATGACATCAGTCGAAATAAGTGAATTTGTTGAAAAGTAAGTTTTACTTTAATAAGTAAGTTTTAAACCTGTTAACAAAAGATCAATTGATTGAAATTGCAATGCATTATGATATTGTTTTTTCCACAAATGATAAGAAACAGAAAGAGAATTCAAACTGTTTTAAAAGTGGCTCTTATAAATAATTATGTATTAAGAATTATGTAATCTGCGGCGGAATCGTTAGGTTTACCAATAAATGCACCTTCTTCTGTAACACTGACCTTTGAGCAACAAAAAGAATTAGCACTTCTCCAATTGGAACATCGTAAATTAGAGCTGAGAAACGTGTTGGCACAGCAGGCCTCAGAAAACAGGAAATTAGATCTGCAACAAAAATGTCTGGACCTTATGAAAGAAGGAAAGGTAAGAAGACACACACAAAACATTACAATCACAGCAATATGTTGAGATTGATGATGCTAAAATTGGTAAACAATTTAAAAACAGTGTGTTTCGGGAGAAATGCAAACAAATCAAATAAGCATAAAAACACAAATGTCTCCAAACTGTTACATGTTAATATTTGGTCTGGTTTCATATTCAGTATTCTACAATAAAAAAAAAGTGACTCGTGTGAACTTTGATGAGGCCAATAACACTAAGCACTGTTAACATGTAGCTAGATGAAACAATGTTCAATATAAACAAGAATCCAATTTTGATGTGACTTTTCTCAGTAATAAACAGTTGCATTTGCTAACTAACTATTGAAATTTACGGTGTGTTAAAACATGTTGATATTCTGCTGAGGACAAAAACTGCTTACCACATGTTTTCATAAAAAGAACAAAAAAATATTAAGACAGGGAACACAGTATCTGTTTTCTGGATCAGACCTAAAAGACAGATGCTTAAAACACTGGTGTCAAAGTGGACAGAATAAAAAAAAATTAAAATTACTACTTATCAACTGTAAATCCTTTATTTAACTATTATTTAGAGACATACACAAATTAAATGTGTATCTATGTATGTGCTGTCAAGTGCAAAGCTTTAAGTGTAATAGTTAGAAAAGTTTCAAGTGTAATATTTGTAGGTAACCCCAAGTGAAAAAAAAGTATACCAAGTATACTTGCAACCAGACTAATTGTCAGTATGCTTCAAGTGTGTTAATGATTAGTTAACTTGAAGTGTGCTATTTTGAAACAACTATTTTTGTACTAAGTGTATTTTAGTTGTAATTAAATTGTAGTAAAGCATAACTTTAAGTGTATTTAGTGTACTTTTATGTGCTAAATTGGAACAACTTCAAGTATACTTAGTACACTTTAAGTATATGCCTATTTCCATGCTTGATTAGTGATATTAAAGTGTACTTTTTTTTTGTATTACAAGTACATTACAAATTAATTATGAGTGTCTTTGAAACGCAAGCAATATACATATATAAATGTATTATTTTTGAGTAAAAATATGCGAATTTTCCCCAATGCTGAATCCACTTTTTAAGGTCATTACAATAAATACATAACTTCAATGACAGACAGAGACACATTATTAACAATTCAAACAGTGTTTATTTAAACCTCAAATGGTTTTAGCATTGCAAAACATAAAATGCACCAACCATGTTTTTAAATAAAAAGAACGCTGAAAGAAACAAACATAAAAAAAAAAAAACATTTTGTAACAGCAGCAGCATTAGCTGAATTCGATTTTTTTTTAGACTTTATTCCGAACATAAAATAAATACCTCTATGTCTGTCCCCATCACCATAGCGCCATTTTGGAGAATATGAGCTGAACATGTGGTGTGGCTGACACAAAAGAGCGTACGCTGCCTGCGTTCAGCTCATATATTTTGGAGAATCTGAGCCACAAGGATGCGCTGTTTTCTTTCAAATCACAGTGTAAATACACGTAGAAAACTTGTCCTTGTGGCGTGGCTGACACAGAAGAGTGTAAGCTGCCTGCGTTCGGCTCATATTCTCCAAAATGGTGCTACGGTGATGCGGACAGACATAGAGGAGACGAATTGTTGAATAAAGTCGTTATTTTTGTCGCTTCATAACGTTACGGTTTAACCACTGATGGTGCTTTTCATACTTTTCTGGACCTTGACAGTATAATTTACTTGGCAGTCAATGGGACAGTCACAAGCCTCCTGGTTTTCATCCAAAATGTCTTAAATTGTGTTCCGAAGACGAAAGAAGCTTTTACGGGTTTGGAACGACATGGGGGTAAGTGATTAATGACAAAATTTTCATTTTGGGGTGGAGTA